GTAGGTTTTCTAATAACCTTACCACTGTGAAGAGTGATGACTGATTTGACTTGATCCATCTGTTGACTTCCAGAACTACTTGCATTTGAATTGTATTGCTCCTCGGGATTTTGCTATCGTTGAGATAGAAACTTATCTTTCTCTTAAAAACTGAGAGCAAATGTGAATTTTGCAAGAGTATCTTTAAAATCTGTTATGCTTTCTCAAAATTACTTGTAAGAGGTGGAGCATAAGGAGGTGCATATCCATGAGAATTTTAAAAATTATGGTGTGCTTGAAACTGTGGTGGTAAAGTTTGTGCATTATCACTCTTCCAACTAAAATTTAGGTGATTTCTCCAACCAGGGTTGTATGTTTAAAGTATGGGCTTGTTCATGGAGACATTCCTTAAAAGAAGGCAAGGTTGGACAATCATTGGTTGAGTGTTCATTTGTTTCACAGATTTGACATACAATGTTTTCAACAGATTTTAATTGACCACTCTTTTTCAATTCTAGTGCCTCGACTTTTCTAGCTAAAGATACAAACTTGGCTTGAAGGTCATGATCTTCCCTAAGGTTGTACATACCTCCACTACATGTATGAGGTTGAGTTTTACTCGGTGCCTCATAAGTTCCTGCAGTGTCCCAATTTTAAGCATTTTCAGCTAACAAGTCTAACTACTCCATTGCTTCATCAGCATCTTTATCTTCAAAAGTTCCATTGCACATCAATTCAACCATTTACCTGTCTCTAGGTGTTAATTCTTCATAGAAATATGAAACCAATCTCCATGTTTCAAAACCATGATGAGGGCAAGTAATAAGCAAGTCTTGATACCTATCCCAACATTGGTAAAATGTTTCTCCTGGTTTTTGAGTGAAAGTGGTTATTTGTCTTTTGAAAGAGTTTGTTATGTGAGATGGGAAAAACTTCTTCAAAAACTGTTGTTGCATTTCATCCTAAGCACGAATGGATCCTAGTCTCAAATTTTATAGCCATGTTTTAGCTTTATCTTTTAATGAAAAAGGAAAAAGATTTAATCTGATGGTGTTCATGCTACAATTTAAATTATTATATGTGTTACAGACCTCCTCAAATTTCCTTAAATGCAAGTATGGATTTTCCAATTCTAAACCATGAAAAGAAGGTAAAAGTTGAATAATACCTGGTTTAAAATTAAAATGAGATGCATTGGGAGGAAAAGCTATGCATGATGGTGCACTTGTTCTTATGGGATTCATGTGGTCTCTAAGTGTTCGAGTACAGTTACTCTCATTATTCTCATTATAAAGTGATTGATTATCTTCTTCGGCCATATTTTCTAAAAATGATGAGGATACCCTACAAAGTCTACCATTTGATGTACATGACCACACTCTCATGCACGTGTAGAAATAGAATAAAAGGTAAAAGAAAACAAAAGAAGAAGAACAAAGAGAAACGAAACAAAATTATATACAAGAAAAGTGAAAAGAGAAAATAAAATAAATATTATAATTTATATAAAACTTACCTCCCCGGCAACGGCGCCAAAAACTTGATACGACGAAAAGATTGAAGTCTTCTCCCAAGTGTAGGAGTGTCGAAGTAATAAATAACCCGGTAAGACCGGGGTCGAACCATAAGGAGGCTGATTGTATAAATTATAGATGACAATAATACAACAACAATAACAATAACAATAATAACAATAATAATAATAATAATAGTAATACTAATAATAATAGTAATAATAATAATAATAATAATAATAATAATAAAGAAAAAGAAGGAGAAGAAGAAGAAGAAGAAGATGATGAGAACTTTGAGAAGGAATATTAATGTAACGATTAAATAATGATAATAACAAATGTCAAGGTTAGAGATTCCACTAATGGTATGTCAAATAACTATAATATAAACTCTTATTATTCAATTGGAAACCACACATAAAGGAGGTTACAATTAGATTATATTGTTAACATGATTACATTAGTCATCTTACATGATTACATGAAAGTGTTAAGCATTTGTTGTACCAAGTGTTCTACAACATAAATCAAGATTAGTTATTTAACAAGCAAAGTATTAAAGAGTGAACAAGATAACAAATACAAAACATGTTAGTATCAAACATTAAAGTCCATATTTAGTTTACATTATACTTATTCTTACACCATTAGTGTAACCTTTTTACCTTGACATAATTAGCTTAGCTAGACATAATGAAAGAAATAAAAATAGATAAACAAAATAAGAACATAAATAAGATAAAAGTTAACTAAGTAAAGGAAAGGAAATGAAAGGCATAAACTTGATATTAATGAAAGCAAAGCATAAACATTACAAAAAATAAAAAGAGAGAAAGGAAGAGCATGATCTTGATCTGGAAACTAAGATGATTAAATGCATGGCAAATGCCTCCTTTTATAGGCCAAAATTGGGAACTATTGATTTGATGACTAATTGATGAGTGGGTGGCCAACTCTTAACTTTGTGACAATCCTTATCTTCTCTTGTCTGCCCAAAATGTCATTGATAAAATCAAAATTGGAGCCACTTGAAAACATGAAAGTTGTAGGCAATTATCTCAGCTTTCTTGTGTAAAACATTAAGCTCATGTAGACTTCTAGAACTCCAAATATGGCCAAAATACTAAACAGTGCTCGGGCTGGAGGACAAATTCGGGCTTTTTTGTTGTTGCTACAATTTAGACTTGGAAATGACCTTTTTAGATCTTGTGCTCCATATGAAAGTTGTAGGCCTATGTCTTACCTTTCCATCCATATAAAACAGACCTAAATCTGAGATCTATAGCTCCAGATATGACCCAATTACCAAACAGTGTTCCTGTTTGGATTGCACCGACATCTCTTTTCTAATTTTGGTCATCTCTTTATCCTTTTAATTTCAGTTCTTAAATTCATCAATCAATCCTTTCATTTATGTGATAGGTCTGCATTTAAAATGAACATTTACCACAAGTTAAAGGTATCTTATATTATTAGATATAATATCATAAAACATGCTTTAGTTAAGGAGTTATTGATACTTCAAGTGCAAAATGATGATATAAAACCTTGATAAAAATGCAGTTTTAAGTACTAATCATCTATCATAATGCTTCTTGAAATATTCAGATTTACAAACTCTCGCATTGTTATCACTTAATTCTGCTTATATACTTATTTAACATGTATTCTTAAACTTTAATTTACACACACACACTTTAAACATATGATTGTGGGTTGCATATTGAATTATTATATTATTTATGTTCTTTTGTTAAAGGTAACAACTAAGGGAGAGGGATAGTATATAATTAAAAAAATAAAAAAAAATGAATGAAAAAAAATTAAATGATGATAGTAAAAATGTAGATAAGTTTGGTTTCCTAACCTCCCTAACCTAAGGAATTAAGCTCGAATGGGTGTTTTACACCTAATACCCTAAAGTGAACTAACTTGGGAGCTATTAACCTAACGCTTATTACATAGGTTGAGGAGAATAACTTAAGGGAATCAAGCATTATACTATCTACATATTAGTATCTGCAACCCGAGTTACTAAGCTCGTAGGGGTGTCTTAACACCTAATGCCCTAAGACCAACTTGTCTAGGAGTCATTAACCGAAAGCTCGTTACATGGCTTAAAGATGCATGGTGTTTTAAGTTATATGTATATATATTTTTTTTAAAAAAGAAAAAAAATAATAATCTCAACCCAAGGAAGTTAACCTTAAGCATCAAAACAAAAATTTTGTTTTCTTCCAATAAAAGCCCCATAATTATGTGTTGATATATTGAGCACAAAAGAAAAGTTTATTAATATCTTGTTAAGAGGTATTGAGCAGATATATAAATTGAATGAGAGTTGATTTATTTGGATAGATTAATGGAAGTTGAATGATGAATACCTTGCTTTGTGGAATTTGCAAAAAACATTTCTATTTTAACGCTTTGATTACTAGAGACTAGTAATAAGCTGGTTGGGGGGTGTGATTAGTACTTAAAAGTATAATTTTATCAAGGTTTTATATCATCATTTTGCACTCGAAGTATCAATAACTCCTTAACTAAAACATGTTTTATAATAATGTATCTAATCATATAAGATACCTTTAATTTATGGTAAATATTCATTTTAAATGCAAGCCTATCACATAAATGAAAGGATTGATTGATGAATTTAAGAACTAAAATTGATAGTACAAAGAGATGACCAAACTTAGAAAAGAGATGTCGGTGCAATCCAAACTGGAAAACTGTTCAGTAATTGGGTCATATCTAGAGCTGTAAATCTCAGATTTAGGTCTAATTTATATGGATGGAAAGGTAAGACATAGACCTACAACTTTCATATGGAGCCCAAGATCTTAAAAGACCATTTTCAAGTTCAAATTGGAGCAACAATAAAGAGGTCCGAATCTGTCTTTTAGCCCGAGCACTGTTCAGTGTTTGGCCCATATTTGGAGTTATAGAAGTCCAAATGACCTCAATTGTTTACACAAGAAAGCTGAGACAATTTTCTAAAACTTTCATGTTTTCAAGTGGCTCTAATTTTGACGTACAATGACGTTTTAGGCATACAAGAGAAGATAAGGATTGTCACCAAGTCAAGAGTTGGTCACCCACTCATTAATTAGTCATCAAATCAATAGTTCTCTATTTTGGCCTATAAAAGGAGGTATTTGCCATGCATTTAGGCATCTTGGTATCCAGATCAAGATCATGCTCTTGCTTTCTCTCTTTGTATTTTTTGTAATGTTTATGCTTTGTTTTCGTTAATATCAAGTTTATGCCTTTCATTTCATTTCCTTTACTTAGTTAACTCTTATCTTATTTTGTTTGTTTATTTTTCTTTTTTTTTTATTATGTTTAGCTAAGTTTATTATGTTAAGGTGAAAAGGTTACACTAATGACGTTTTGTATAATTAACCTCTCTGTGGTTTGACCTCGGTCTTGTTGGATTATTTATTACTTCGACACTTCTGTACTTACAAGAAGACATTAATCTTCTCGTCGTGTTAGGAAGAAGAAGACTGGAATGACATTTAATAGGATTTACGTCCATGAGGATGAGATAGTGAAGCTCTTTGAGAGTAAGAAATATCTTTTGACGCATTATTTTTTAATATTTGATATACTTTGGCTTCTTGCCCTTTTCATTTGATTAATGGGATTCTTCCATTCTATATAATATTTTTATCTCAAACCTACATTTTCAGGTGATTTCTTTTCACCCTTTAAAAGCATTTGACTTCTTGCTAACATCTGTTGCAGCCCTTCCACATCCACAAAATATCCCAGTTTCTGTTCTTCACAGTTTTTTCGTGAAGGGTGACACGATGGGGTTTGAACTGGGAGAGTACGACTTGGAGGCTTCCGGGCTATATCCAGACCTCGAATTTAGAACGATCGATCAACTTCTTGATATTTTTTTGACTAGCCCTCCAGATCGTGCAGCTGCTGCCTTTGAATGAGTTTTATGATCTGCGATTTCCATGTCTTGAATTTGTTTTCTTGTTTGTAACGTCCGCAGATAGACGGACATCTAAAAGGTCAGGTTGTGAGGCCGAGGCCATTATTATTAATAATCGGAGTCCTTTCTTTGTATACCTTGGCTGTATTGGTACTGCAATTATTATTGCCGTCTCTAGGACAATATAATCAAGAAGGTGGAACAAAATATAGAGATCTTTAAGACTTCAATGACGTTTAGGTCTCCAAATTCTCAAATGATTAATACACGAGTGCATAACATTATATTATTATTATTATTATATACAAAACACTAAAAGGCCCAGTAAAATAATATTGTTTCTTATGCTACTGTTCACGTATAGACAAATCACTATATATTGTTGGAGTGATTTATTCTTTTTTTTTTTTTCAATGACACTGTCATGAACCAAGTCAATAACTTCCCATGCTGAGTTCTTTTGAAGGGCTTTCATCTGTTCATTCATTGCCTCCCTCCATCTAGAATCATCCAAGGCTTCTGCACATTATTAAAAATAGATACAATAAATAATTGATATATAAATGCCATTTTTTCTTTTGACAATCTATGATAGAATACATAGTTAAAAATATTTAAATCTAGAGTGAAGGACCGGTTCATAGTTCACCTTGGGTTTACCTCGTGTGACTCGATTAAGTAGTTCTTTTAGAGGTTCAAATGGAAGACTCTCATGAGACTCAAGTATGAAATCGACCGGGGAACACAATTGGTTAACTGGTATATTGTAGGAAACTGTTGGCACCTCCAAGTTATCCTGATTATTGTCAATGATTTCGATTTCTGGACCATCACAACCATAACTTGCATCACTGGTATACCCCTCCCTGTCCCGGTGATCCTCAATGTTCTTATCACCCGGACATTCATTGCTAGTTTCCAAGTTATCCAAAGGATCAATTAATCGGTTACCTTGTGTAATGACATCCAAATTATATATGTGCAGGATTAGTTAATCTCTGCACTTCATCGCCAGCCTCCCATTGAGGTGAACCCGCAGAATAATACATAGTAGTTTCATGGAAGACCACATTAAGAGTAACATAAAATTTGCTAGAAGGAGGGTGATAACATTGATAGCCTTTTTGATGCAGGGTATAGCCGACAAACACACATTAAAGCGCCCGGGATTCTAGCCTAGTTCACAAGCCTTTGCGAAGATGCACAAGGCTACACATCTAAAAACTTTAGGAGATAAATTTGGCACAGTAGGAGCACTTGCAATGCGATGAAGAACCTTAAAAGGAGTTTGAAATTGCAGAGAAATAAATTAAATATTAGAAATATGCATTACATGTAATTTCATATCTCGATACTAAGCGACAAATAAAATAAAATTTTTGTTATTTTTAAAATTTTGATCAATATTCTCTTGACTTTAATAAACTAGTTATTAAAACTAAAATACATGCTAAAATATTGTTTTTGGTATATGAAAAATACAATATGATTTCTTTGTAACTTTAAGACACTAGATCATATGCACAAAAATATTTTTAATTTTTTTTAATTTTTTGTATTTTTTTGAAAGTTTTGACGAAAACTGAGTATTTTGATACTGGATTTGTATTTTTACGACATAAAAATACTGTCAAATATTAATCAAAATTACATAAAAAACATGCAAAAAAATTTAAAAAAAATCTAAAATAAGCATTTTAATTTTTTTTAAAAAAAATAAGTCAAGTCAGCCCAAATACATGGGTTGGGTCGAACCTAGCCCAACTGTATAGGTTGGGCTTAGCCCAGCCCATATTAGCTAGTTACTATGCATAACATAATAACCAGCTTCTCCCTACTTGCAGACATGCACAGTAAGAGCACTTACAATGCGATGAAGAACCTTAAAAGGAGTTTGAAATTGCAGAGAACTAGAAGGTACACGGTTGATGATGTAGGCTTCAGTAGTAACAACTTCTCCTCAAGTAGGCATGTGCGCTTCAAATAAGGAAGCACGAATGACCTCAAGAAGGTGGCAATTTTTGCATTCGGCTACCCTATTTTATTGAAGGGTGTAAGGGCAAATTATTTGATGAATAATGCCTTGTGAATTCAAGTAATGTTTCAAGCTCTGATTGATAAATTCTTTCCCATTATCAATACAGATAACCTAAATGTTTGAATGAAATTATGTTGCTATCTTTTTGTGAAATTGCTCGAATAGGGAACTCACGTCACTCTTTGATTTTATTAAACAAATCTAAGTCATATGGGTGTGATCATCAACGAATGAAATAAACCAACGTAATCCATTTAGAGAATGAGTATTTACAGACCCCATGCATCAGAGTGAATAACCATAAAAGGTGCAGGACTTTTATTCATTCTAATAGAAAATGAAACATGATGACTTTTAACAAGTTCACAAATATCACAATTAAAGTCTGAAAAAATCAATTGCAAAAATAACTGTGGGAATAATTTTTGTAAATATTCAAAGGATGCACGGCCTAAACGTCTATGCCATAACTAGATTTCAAAATTCTGATGTTTATAAGATGTTTTAACTAAGAACACTTGAGCCAACTGAGTTGAGCTTGTTGGAATCAGATCTAGATAGTAGAGTTCCCTCTCCTAGTATCATAACCAATTGTCTTCCAAGTTTGAATGTACTTGAATATACAATGGTTAGGCTAAAAAATCACAACACACTTCAAAGCATAAGTTATTAGAGCAATAGATAATAAATTATGATTAAGAGAAGGGACAACAAGCACCGAATCTAAATTCAATTTTTTTGTAAGGGAGAGCATGCCTTCTCCTAACACAGAAGAAAGGGTACAATCGGTTGTGGATACTATATGTTGGTTTGAAGGTTTTATGGATTGTTGGTTTGAAGGTTTTATGGACTGCATATAATTATTGTTAAGGTCATGTGATTTGTGGCACCTGAATCAATTATCCATTCACTATTTCTAACAGAAGTGGAGGTATGAAGAGCCTTACCTGCATTCCCACCATTAGCAATAGAAGAGGCTTTCCCAGGATTGTTGATAGACGTATGATTGGGCTCCTCCACAGCAACTAAAGCATGAGGATTTGTCTTTAAGTTTCGTTTACGAGGTGCTTTGGAAAAATCCCACCATTTTGGATATCCAATCAATTCATAGCATTGTAGTTTAGTGTGTCCTGTTTCAATATAGTGAGTACACATGCATTCTGGTCGTGGAACTCCTATTTCATAGCTGTGATTTTGTGATCCAAATGACTGATTATGATTCAGTGAACCAGATGCTCGCTCTGGTTTCAGGTTCATTGGTCGTTGATGTTATTCGACGAGCTACCATAGTAGATGGCTTTGAGGGCCCAGGTTCGCCATTCAGTGTGTTTCATCAGACAGAATCATGACGAACATAGACATACGTTTCTTCATGGTTTAGTACAAAATCTCTCCTGAGGGTCTGGTTCATGATAATTTTATCACGATGATCTAGTTCTTGAAAGATTTCTATCAGATCACCATAATAGGTAGAAATAGGATGACCAACCTATTTGGTGGAGACCGCATGTTGGTTTAATGCAAATAATTATGATTCATCTACCCCCATCATAAAATTCTTTGGTAAGAGCATTCTAGATCCCATGTGGAGTAGGCAGTCTAAGGTAGCGTTTCATAATCTCTGGTGACATGGAGGTCAACAACCATCCTTTAACCTTCTGATTCTTAGCATACCATTTAGCATAGGATGGGTCAATAATCTCTAGAGAAGTGTTACTCATAAGATATTCAAGTTTCTCTTACCTTGCAATTTGCATCTCCATGATATGAGACTAGACATAATAGTTACTTTCAATAAGGATGACATTAGTTAAGAAACTGGAATTCCCTTATTGAAAATGGATAACTGTTGTAGAGGAGGATGATTCAGTTTTGTCACTAGTCATGGTGCAAAAAGAAAGTTTATACGGTTTTCAGGATTTGTGTTGTGATATACAGAGCAGATACTATAGCTTGCTCTGATACCAAGTTAAGAAATATAAAGAATACGTGAAGGGATTCAATTGTTTATGCAGCTTGCTTTCTCTATTACAAACACAGTATAAATAACCAACTTTACAAAGCTTTGTTTTCCTGATCCTATAGTTTTGGGCTTATTGAATAACTATATGAAAAGCTATTTTTATTCGGATATAATCACACGTTTACAAGGATTCTAGGATATATTTCTACAGCAAACATTAGAGATACAATGGGACTTAAATACCGGAAATCCAACTTGGAGATAATTACTCAAACTTATCAACGTTGCTAACATCTGTTTAAGCCCTTCCATATCCATAAAATATCCAGTTTCTATTCTTCACAATTTGTTCGTGAAGGGTGACACGATAGGGTTTGAACTGGGAGAGGATGACTTGGAGGCTTCTGGGCTATATCTAGACCTAGAATTTAGAATGATCGATCAACTTCTTAATATTTTTCTCACTAATTCTCTAGATCCTACAACTGCCACTTTTGAATGAGTTGTATGATCTATGATTTCCATGTCTTGAATTTGTTTTCTTGTTTGTAACGTCTGCAGATAGACGGACATCTAAAAGGTCAAGTTGTGAGGCCGAGGCCATTATCATTACTTTTTATGAGTATAGTTTTATCCTATGTGTTATTTTCACTTAACCTTACATGAGATGGTGAACTTTAGGTAGAAAAAATCAGTTTGAAGTTTATTGTGGGTTTTTAGGAAAATTTTTAGGTTGTTTGAGAATGATTTTCAAGGTGTTTATAATATTTTTTTGTCAAAATATGGTTAAAAATAAATTATTCTTTTATCAAACCCCTAACTTTCCAGTGACCAAAAGTCACCATAACAAGGGCAAAGCTTGTGACGCAACATCTTTATTTAAAAAAAAAAAATTAAGGGGGGATAAAAATATTACCCACCGCTTAAAAAAATTAAAATAAAAAGGCTGAGTTGTGTAGACTACTCTTGGCTTATACTCCTCACCTTTTTTTTAGGCTTAAACACATTGGTCTAACCAAACCCAAGCATATGAGTCTTTTTTTTTCTTTTTATTTTTATTTTTTTTATTTTTTATTATTATATTTTTCAAATTTAATCCATCACAATTTAATCTTTATTGATTTTTCTAG